GGGACATGAGAGTGATTCTTGGCTTTTTCTGCTGGGCTGCAGAACTGGGAACACGGGGGGATGTGGGCAAGCCCAATCTGCCTCATTGGTCAGAGCTGGGTCCTGGGCGTCCGGGGCCCCTCCCTGGTGTCTTGCCAGTGTTCATGGTCTGTCCTGGGCCTCCTCTTGGGGCCAGGCACTGTTTCTCCGCCAGTTTTCTCCTCTTTCCTGGTCCCAACACCATCCCTGCTGGGGCCCATTCTTTTGGGGCCCTTGACTCTGGCCTTTAACTCTTCCCCCGGGCTGCCCAGCAGCCCGTCCTTCCTTCCCTCAGGTGGTGCTCAGGGCAGAGCTGTGGGTCTGGCTCGTGACCATCCTGGGCCCTGAGCCCATGCCTGGTCGCTGGGTGAGTGAAGGGAGAGAAAGCAGGGCCTGAGAGGATGGCGGCAGAGGGTAGCACGTGGGAGGGGCTGGAGTACAGTCCGGGGGTGCTGAGGTCCTCCTGCTGCGTTCTCTTCTGCCAGTGCCTCCATGAGCTGCTGCCCTCCTGGGGCCATGATGGTGACCAGCTGAGGGTTGCTGTTCTCCCCTTGGGGAAGAGGATGAGGAACAGACTTCCCGTTGCACCCCCAGAGTCTTCTTGGCAGGTGATGGCAGGTGACAGCCACCAGGGAGGGCTTAGGGAGACTTGGGGGGGGCAGCCCGTGCTGCCACCGCAGCCCTGGCAAGGAGATCCTGCGCCCCTCCCCCCAGGAGTCCCAGAATCCGGCCCGGTGTCCGGGCAAGCATCCCTGTCTCTGCTGGAGGGCCCAGCATGCGCCCTTCCCGGGACAGCTCTCCTCACTGGGGAGGGTTGTCTGAAGCGGGCTGATCAGCCCATCAGAGACTGGGAGGCAGCTGCTGTGTCCTCTCACCCCCGTGGGCAGTGAGGGGAGATCATTAGCGGCGTGAGCCTGAGCCTCCTTCCTGGTGCCAGGCCATCTGCAGGCCGGAGGCATGGGACATGGGGGGAGGAGAGGTTCCCCACGCAAGGAAGCCTGACTCCTTTAGACTAATGGAGTGAGACATCGAATTCCTTTAGAACCTGGCCCAAATTTTGAGAAGAGCCCGCAGGGTCCCAGCCCCTCCTTTCACAGAGGAGGGCAGGAGGGTGAGTCCCACTGGCGGCCAGGGCAGGATTTGAATCCAGGCCCCCTGACGAGGCAGCCAGCTGTCGCTGCTGTCCTTCCCCCATGCAGCCTCTCTTTGCCTGATTGAGTTCAAGTCTGTCCTCCTGGGTAGGTCACCTATTCCCCTTGCAATCTTGCTGACCTCTGAACTGGCCAGTACCAGCTCCAGAGCAGGCTTGGGTGATGTGGGCCCCAAATATGCCTCTGGAGGGGAGAGTTCACGTGAGCCAGCTCCTGGCAGCGCCGTGGGCCCGTGCCGCCTGGCTCCTGGCATTGGGTCACGCCCAGAAGATGCAGTCCCCACTCTGCCTTTGTCTCCTCCAAGCTTGCTGAGGCTGGGGCCAGCCTTCCTGCCTGGGACAGCCCCGGGGAGCTCCCGCCCGTCCTGAGGCCTGGCATCTTGTGCCTTTTTAGAGGAATCTGAGCTTCACAGACGTCAGCAAACACTGGCATTTCCTGATAAGATGAACAGAAGGGGAGGACTGTAGGTGATGTTGCACTCTCTTGTGTGAAGCCGAGTGTGAATTGGACTGACCATGGTAGTAACAACATTGCTCCACTCCCTTCCCCGTCCCCCCGAACTTCCTCCTGCCCTCCTCTGGAGGCGCTGTTTTTCTAATGTTTCCCTGATATTTTCCAGCAGAGCCGCATCAGGAATTCTACTTAGGGTGTCTCTGTCACCCCCCCCCCAGGGTGCGCATACAAGGGCAGCCCCCATAGAAACCCTTTTTTTTTAAATTTTTTTTGGTTTAAAGTTTTGAGTTCCAAATCCTTTTTTTTCATTAATTAATTTATTTTGATTTATCAACAATCACTTCCATAAGCTTTTGAGTTTTAAATTTTCTCTCCCTCCCTCCCCACGACGGCATGCAATCTGCTATAGGCTCTGCATATACATTCTTATTAAACATATGTTTACATTAGTGATGTTGTAAAGAAGAATTAGAACCAATGGGAGGAACCACCAGGAAAAGGAAACAAAACTCAACAGGAGAAAAAAAAATAGCAAATAATATGCTCCTATCTGCATTCAGACTCCATAGTTCTTTCTTTGCATGTGGGTAGCATTTTCCATCATGAGGCCTTTGGAAATGTCTTAGATCCTTGTATTGCTGAGAAGGGTTAAGTTTATCAGTATTAGTCATCACACAACATGGCTGTTACTGTGTACAACGTTCTCCTGGTTCTGCTCACTTCACTCAGCATCAGACCATACAAGTCTTTCCAGGTTTTTCTGAAGTCTGCCTGCTCATCATTTCTTGTAGCACAATAGTATTCCATTACATTCATTTACCACAACTTGTTCAGTCATTCCCCAGTTGATGGGCAGCCCCTCAATTTCCAATTCTCGGCCACCACAAAAAGAGCTGCTATAAATATTTTTTTACATGTGGGCTCTTTTCCCATTTGTATGATCTCTTTGAGATACAGCCCTAGAAGTGCTATTGCTGGGTCAAAGGGTATGCACATTTTTATAGCCCTTTAGGCATAGTTCCAAATTACTCTCCAGAATGGTTGGATCAGTTCACAACTCCACCAACAATGCATTAGTGTTCCAATTTTCCCACATCTTCTCCAGCATTTATCATTTTCCTGTTTCATCATGTTGACCAATCTGATAGGTGTGATGTGGTACCTCAGAGTTGTGTGATTTGCATTTCTAATCAATGGTGATTTAGAGCATTTTATCATGATTGTAGATGGCTTTAATTTCTTCATCTGAAAATTGCCTGTTCGTATCCTTTAACCATTTGTCAGTTGGGGAATGACTTGTATTCTTATAAATTTGACTTCTCTATATATTTTAGAAATGAGGTTCTTATCAGAGACACTGGTTGTAAAAATTCTCTCCTAGTTTTTTGCTTCCCTCCTAATCTTTGTTGCATTGGCTTTGTGCAAAAACTTTTCAATTTAATGTAATCAAAATTATCCATTTTGCATTTCATAATGTTTTCTATCTCTGATTTGGTCATAAATTCTCCTGTCCTCCATAAATCTGACAGGTAAACCATTCCTTGCTCTCCCAGTTTGCTTATAGTATCAGCATTTATGTCCAAATCGTGTACCCATTTTGACTTTATCTTGGTATAGGGTATAAGATGTTGGTCTATGCCTAGTTTCTGCCATGCTCTTTTCCAGTTTTCCCAGCAGTTTTTGTCAGAGTGAGTCCTTATCCCAGAAGCTGGGGTCTTTGGATTTATCAAACAGTAGATTAGTATAGTCATCGAGGACTGTGTCTTGCATACCTAACCTATTCCACTGGTCCACCACTCTGTTTCTTAGTCAGTACCAAGCAGTTTTGATGATTGCTGCTTTACAATACAATTTAAGATCTGGAATGGCTCGGCCGCCTTCCCCTGCATTTCTTTTCATGAGTTCCCTTGATATTCTGGACCTTTTGTTCTTCCAAATGAATCTTACTAGTTTTTCTGGCTCTGTAAAATAATATTTTGGCAGTTTGATTGGTATGGATAAGTAAATTAATTTAGGTAGAATTGCCGTTTTAATTATATTAGCTTGGCCTACCCATGAGCACCTGGTGTTTTTCTAATTATTTAGATCTGACTTTCTTTGTGTGGAAAGTGTTTTGTAATTGAGTTCCTGTAGTTTGTTTCGGCAGGTATTTTATAGTGTCTGCAGTAACTTTAAATGGAATTCCTCTCTCTGCGTCTTGCCGCTGGGCTTTGTTATCTAGTAGCACACAGAAATGCTGATAGAACCCCACTGGTAACAGGCCGCCCGGCTCTCCAGCCTTTGCCTTTCCTGTGGGCTCTGCTTCTGCCTCTGTCATGGGGGCTCAGCTGGGCTGGGGCTCTGCCCTGTGGCTAGGCACAGGGCAGAGCACTTGCCCCTAAGCTTCTCTGGGGGAGGAGCTCTCAAATTCCTGGTGAGAATCCAGCATCTCAAGCCGGAACTAGGCGTCCAGCCCCCAACCCTCCACTGGTTTTCACTCCCCTCTCCTCTCCCTTAGTGCTGGAGGAAGGGGGCGCTGGCCCTTCTATTTGGCCAAGGTCCACCAAGGCTTTAGCAGCTCTGTTGAGATCACACTCCCCTTGGAGAACGTCTCCCCCCTGGCCAATAAGCCTGGACTCCAGCTCAGTGGACAGAGATGGGGGTAAAGCTGCCCTCCACTCCTCTTGCCCTGGCAGACCAAGAGAGCCCCAAGCCCAGTCAAGCTGGATCCTGCTGACCAGCCCCAGCCCCCGTGACACTGAGGTGGACAAGGGGAGAGACCCAGGGCAAAGGCCAGCCCTCCCCCCACAAGTCACATGGCTTTCCCCAGCCATGTGCCAAGACCCTGTCCCAGGGCTGCCCAGCAGCCTGTCTGTCATCATCGTGAGAAGACCTTTGTCTGAGAAGGCCTATCCCTGTGGAGCTGCACCCGGTTGGCCTCCTTCCCGGAGGTTCCCGTGGTGGGGAAGGCTGTGCCTGGTGCTCCCTCCGCCCCTGGAGCGTTCCCTGCCAGCTCCTTCTTTGCTTCTGGGGCGGATGGCGAGAGGGAGACTTCCCACAGTGCCTTGGACTTGGATGTCTGGCTTAGAAGGAAACCTAAGTGTCTGTGAGGTCAGGGAAGGGCAATGTTGTCTCCATTTCAAAAAAGGAGGAGGCAGACACTCCCAGAAATGGCATCCAAGAGGCCGGCGAGCTCGACTGATTCCTGGGGAAAGCCTAGAGTGGGCCCTTGGAGAGGTGACTGGCGCTGTCTGGATTAGGGGAGCCAGTGGGGTTCCGGCTCGTGCCTGGAGTCTGAGCACAAGGGGCTGGAAGGGAGCCCCTCCTCCAGCTGGGTCTGGAAGGGGCAGCGCTGCTGTCCTGTGGACTCTGGGGTGAAATGCGTCCCCTCTCTTCCAGAGATCTCCTGCACACGCTGACTCATGTTGTGGAGGCTTTGCATCAGGCCCAGCTGCTGGTCATCCTGGTCGTCCCGTCCACCATCGTCCCGGGGTGAGTAGACAGAGAGCTCGGGCCAAGCCAGGCTGAGCTGCTGGGCTTGTGTTCAGGGGGAGGAGCTGGCCTGTGGCCTTGGGCCTCCTCCGGGCTCCTTACCCCGGCATTGGAAGGTTTGTCCTGAGCCCTGTCCTTGGGCTCACTATGTGAGTGAGGGTCACCTCCCGTGGGGATGCGCCAGCCCCGGGACCCTCTCAAAGGCTGAGCTCCAGGGCAGGTCTCTGAGAGACGTTCCGGGGTCCGTGAGGTGCCCTTCAGGGCTGCTGACGAAGCGGTGTGCTGGGTACGCGTGGAGACTGGCAAACACAGGCAGCACCTGCCAGGGGCCTCTGTGCCACCCACACCCTTCACCGGCCCGGCAAGGGAGGTGATTGTTGTACGCACTTATCACCAAATGGAAGCGGTGTGGCTGGCACAGAACAGGCAGCGTTTGATAAGTGCTCGTCCCGCCTCGCCTGCCCCGTGGTGGGGCTCCAGGAGGACCCTCCATGCTTACCAGGGAGCCCCCCAATGGAGACAGCAGTCAGCACGGGTGCTGGGAAATCTGCCCCCTCAGAGCCTGAGCCGAAGGCCTCTGCGTGACCTCCCAGGCACACCTTTTTCCCCTGCCTCCATGGGGTGGTCAGAGCAGAGCCCCCAGGGAGGTGCTGCCCCTCACACCTCCCAGGGGCCCTTTCCAGATGTGGGAAGACCCTGGGAAGAGGGGTGGGCCTTCCTGCCCGCAGCCGATGTCTATCGGTGAGAGCTAGTGTGACAGCGCGGGGAGTGGCCAATGAGTGGTCAGTGTGCCAAGGAGGTGGGTGGAATGGCACTGAACTCTCCTGGGGCTGGCCTGTTGGCCCAGGCTCCCTTAAGATCCTGCGTCTCTGGGCTGGTCAGCGCCAATGGGGTCCTAGCACCTGGGCATTTGGAGATGGAGAGAGAGAAGTGCTGAGGACCCTGCCCCCTGGGGAGGAGAGCTGAGCTTCAGCCCCAGCAAGGCCAGGCCTCGTGGCAGAGTTCTCCGAAGGTTGGTTCTGTCACCCTCTGCACCCAAATCGAGGGCTTAGGGATTGGTGCGGCAGTTACTGTAGGGGTGGGGGTGAAGAGATGGGCGTGGCTGCAGCCTCTGGGAGTGTTAGGTAGGGCACCTTAGCTGTCTGAGGCCACATCTGAAGAGGAGAAAGGGGTGATCAGCCTGGGGATGGGGAGGCAAGGAGGACCTCGTGGAGGGGACGGGGCGTGGCGGCCTAGAGTGAGTGAGGAGCAGAGGGGGCTTGTGGGCTGACCGCTCAGAGAAGGAAGAGGAGGTCAGAAGAGCTGGTGCAGCCACCAGGAGGTGCTTCTTCTGCCTTGAATGTCAGGCCTTGTCCGTGGGGGCAGGCATGGTTTTTCATCTTTGTCTTTGAGCCGGTGCCTGGTACAGAGCAGGTCTTTGATAAAAGCTAAAGGCTGCGGGCTTGGCAGACAGACTCGGGTCTCACCCTGCTCCCCCATCCCCTCCATGGACAATTGACTTTTTGGATTTCCCATTTATCCTGCCACGTTCCATCTGACTCTTTTCTGGCGTAGGGTGGGGGCGCACATGTCATCTGCCCAGGCTGTCCCCCCACGTTTCTGCTGACTCTGCTCTGAGAGCGAGGCCGTGGTCCAGGCTGGTGATTTCCGCGTCTTAGCTGAACTCGACCTGCAGAGAAACCTCATTTGCCTTTGCTGTTGTGGGCCAGTGGTCATCCTTGCTCTGGGAGCCCCACCATCCCTTCTCCCTTCTCCTGTTCACAAACATGGGCGTGTGCAGGGATGCGGCTGTCCCACACACATCCGCTCTGCCTGGCCTTCCTCCTGAAGCAGGGGGAGCTCTCCACCTCTGGGTAGCAGGCTGTGGTTTACCCGAACCCCAGGGCCACTGTGGGTGTGGGTGGGAGTATGCCCCTGTGCTGCTCAGCCCTCGGCCTGTCTTCTGGATGCTGCGTGAGGCCTGATGCCTTGAATCCCTCCGTCAGTACAGTGTGAGCTATAGCAAGGAAAGGAGAGAGAACCTGGAGGTATCAGGGAACAGCAGGGCCAGCGGTGTGTCCTCTACCTAACTGTATGGGGGGGTCCTCCCAGGCAGAGGCGCCTGGGGACACTGGGTTGGCTGCCCCAGCTCCCTCATTTCATCCATCTGCCATCAGCTCCTCCATGAGCTGCCGACCTGGCTGGTGTGTTCACTGAGGAAAGCTGGAGGCCAGGCCAGCTGGAGTTTGCAGGTTCTCTCCCTCCTGCCCAAAGCCCCCCCAGGAACTCCCAGTCAGCCCCTGATGTTTGACTCGGTGCTGGACTTCCAGCTGGGCCAGCCAGTCTTGAGGCCCCTGTGGACTCTGTCGCCCCTGGGCGACAGAAGCAGAAGCCTACTTGCCTGGCATCTGTCCCCACTGCAGACCATCCTCCTTGTAGGTGTTGAATTCATAGGTCTGACCGCGTCAGTCAGTCAGTGAACACGAAGCACCTGCTATGTGCCAGGTACTGTGCTAAGTGCTTTGTACAAATATTATCTCAATTGATCCTTATCAGGTAGGTGTTATTATTATCCCCATTTTATAGTTGAGGAAACTGAGGCAAACAGCAGTTAAGTGACTTTTCCAGAGCCAAGCAACTAGGAAGGGTCTGAGGATGGAGTTGAACTCCATCGTCCTGATTCCAGGCCCAGTGCGCTGTCCATGGTGCTACCTAGCTCTGTTTATTCCTTTGTTTTCTAATGTTGGGTTTTAAACAGGAATGGGCACTGTATCTATTCAGAAGCTTTTTCTTTGTCTGTTCAGAGTTGTATGATTTTGTGTTACAGCGTGGGTCAATTATGCTTACAGTTTTCTTCATAATATTGAACTAGCCCAACATTCCCAGTATAAATGCAGCGTGGACGTAGTGTATGCTTTGTTTTAGGTTGCTGTAGTTGCCTTACTAATACTTTATTTAGAATTTTTGCGTCAGTATTCATTAAGGATATTGGTTTGTACTTTTCTTTGACTTTTTCTGACTTAGGTTTCAAGACCAAATTTATGAGAGAAAGAATTTGGAAAGAATTTTCCTATTTTATTCAAACAGTTTGTATAGTTTTGGAATTAATCATTCTTTAAATATTTGGTAGAATTAGCTTATAAGTCCATCAGGTCCTGGGATTTTTTACTTTGAGTTGTTCAATTTATTTTTCTAAAAGAGGGCTATTTCTTTTTTTTTTTTTTCCAGCTAGGCAGTGGGTTAAGTGACTTGCCCGGGGTCATGCAGCTAGTAAGTGTTATGTGTCTGAAGCTGGATATGAACTCAAGTCCTCCTGAATCCAGGGCCGGTGCTCTATCCACTGTGCCACCTAGTTGCCCTCAAAGGAGAAATTAGTTTGGGTTGGTTTTTTGTTTTTTTTTTTTGGTGAGGCAGTTAGGGTTAAGTGACTTGCCTAGAGTCACATAGTGAGTACTATGTGTCTGAGGTCGGATTTGAACCCAGGTCCTCCTGATTTCAGGGCCAGTACTCTATCCACTGCGACACCTAGCTGCCCCATGAGAGGGTTATTTCAGTACTCTTTTTCCTATTCTGGTAACCTGGGCAGTTTATATTTTTGTAAGTATTCATCCATTTTATTGGATTGTCAGTTTTATTGGCATATAGTTGGGTGAAATAGCTCTTAATTACATTTATTTCTTTGTCGTGCTTGTATGTTCACCTTTTTTCATTTTTTATTTTAGTCATTTGGTTTTTTTAAAAATCAAGTTAATAGTTTATCTGTTTTATTGGGTTTTTTTTTAACTAGGTCCTAGATTTATTTATTAACTCAATAATTTTTTTTTTTTGCTTTTATTTGTGTCCATCTCTCCGATTTTCATGGTTTCCATTTTGGTGTTTAATTGGGAATTTTAAATTTGTTGGTTTTCTAGCTATTTTAATTGAGTACCCAATTTATTGATCTGCTTTTTCTCTCTTTTATTGATGAAGATATTTAGAAATATACATTTTTCCAACTGCTTCTTTGGCCATGTCCCACAAATTTTTATATGTTGTCTCACTATTATCATTATCTTCAGTGGAATTATTGATTATTTCTGTGACTTATTCCTGAATGCATTTGTTCTTTAGGATTAAACTATTTAGTTTCCAACTTTTTATTAATTAATTTATTTTTAGTTTTCAACAATCACTTCCATAAGCTTTTGAGTTTTATATTGTTCTCCACCTCCCTCCATACCTCCCTCCCCAAGCCGGTGTGCAATCTGATTAGTTTCCAACTTTTAATCTTTGTTTCAGAGGCCCTTTATTGAATGATTTTTTTTTTTGTATTATGGCTGGTAAAAGATACATTTAATATTTCTACTTTTCTGTATTTGTTTGCAAGGTTTTTATGCCTTAATATATATAGTGAATTTTTGAGAAGGTGCCATGCATAGCTGAGAGATAGGTACATTCCTTTCTATTCCCATTGAATATTCTCCAGAATTCTACCATATCTAACTTTTCCAAAATTCTATTCAGGACTTTCATTTCTTTTCTCTTTACTTATTTTTTTCATTAGATTTATTTACATCTGATAGAGCCCCCACTATTGTAGTTTCACTGTCTATTTCTTCGTGTAACTCATTTAACTTTTTCTTTAAGTTTAGATTTGGTGTGTGTATGTTTAGAATAAGTGCTAATTCATTGTCTATGGTACCTTTTAGCAAAATGTAGTTTCCCTGTTTTTCACTTTTAATTAGGTCTTTTTTTCTTTTTGCTTTGTCTGAGATCATGATTGCCACCCCTGCCTTTTCTCCTCTAGTTGAAGCATAATAGATTCTAATCCAGCCCCTTATTTTAACCCTGTGCGTATCTTTCTGTTTCAAGTGTGTTTCTTCTTCACCGTATTGTTGGACTCTGGTTTCTCGTCCAGTATGCTGTCCTCTTCCGTTTTCTGGGTGAGTCCCTCCCATTAACATTCACAGTTACAATCATTAATTGTGTATTACCTTCCATCCTATTCTCTTATGCTTTTCCTTTTCTCTTTCTCCCTGCCT